TGGGTCCTGAGTGGTCAGCTCCATGGAGGTCCACAAAGGTAATGCACCTGTGTAACCAGCACTGGTGGCTAGTGCCCAGAAGCCACCCAGGCTCCTTCTAGCCATGAGGCCCCAAGAGACAGCCACCCTAACAGCCCACCTGTGACTGTATGTGCAGGGGATCGGGCCATGTGTTCTCTGTCTCTCTCTCTCTTTCTGCCCTGCCTGTGCAACCGAGGTCGGCTCACGCTGGGTGCCCCAGAATCTTCCAGCAGGGAACACACTGCCATCAGAGATCCAATCTCCTGCCAGCGGGCCTGGCGGTTTCTGGTTTCACTGTGAAAACGTTCTGGTGCATATCTACTGGGGAGCAGACACACGCACCACCATTGGGTCCTTAGAACTATCTTTTATTGGTAAATAAAAAGTACTGCCGGGGCGCCTGGGTGGCTCAGTTGTTAAGAGTCTGCCTTCGGCTCAGGTCATGATCCCAGGGTCCTGGGATCGAGCCCCACATTGGGCTCCCTGCTCCGCAGGAGGCCTGCTTCTCCCTCTCCCACTCCCCCTGCTTGTGTCCCCTCTCCCGCTCTCTCTCTGTCAAATAAATAAATAAAATCTTAAAAAAAAAAAAGGAACTGCCAAGTGCACGGGGCCCTTATATTCCCCTTCCCTGTTTCCGCATCCCATTTCCTCACCCTCAGCCGTGGCCTCGGTGACTTGGTCATGCTTTCCCTTCTTCCCTTGGGAACCGCCTGGAGGCAAGGTCCTGGGGGGCGGTAGGCAGCCTGGGCAGACTCCCTGCCCTGGGCTCTCCCACAGCCCCTGGAAGCTGAGCTGGACAAACAACAAGGGCGAGCTCCCCTCCAGCCGGGCCCTGGGCGGGAACCCGAGCAAGGCCAGCTGTGCAAGGGCTCTTAGGGTGGGGGTGGCACTGTCGGCGGCCCCATCATCTGGCAGGGGAAGGAGGCGCCCGCGGGCATGAATGCCTCCCTGCGCCTTCACTCCTCAGCCTCTCAGGTAGGTTCTGGACCCATGCTCACGCTGGGAAGACGAGGTCGCAGATGTTCAGAGAGACCGCAGCCAGGAGGCACCGGCTGGGCTCCAGCATTTTTGAGGGGCAGCTCCATTCAGGGATTCCCATCAGCTCTGCTCAGCCCCCGTCTAGTGGGACGGGAAAGGTAGCTGCAGCTGCTCACTGGGGTCTGGGTCCCAATATCTTTCTTGTACCTCTCTTCTCCAGCCCTGGCTCCCTCACACCAGAGCGCTCAGCGGGGGGGGGGGGGGATACAAGCAGAAAAGGGTTTGAAGGTGAGTGGAGAAGCGGAGCAAGACGCTTCGCCTATTGTTACTCACGGCGTCTCCAGGGAAGACAGCCATGAAGGGCCCTGGGCAGAGGAAATGGATTCCAACAGGATTCGCAGAAATCGGGTTAGACCGCAGGGAGTATTCCTAGCTATGCAAGAGCAACGAGGTCCCCCTTCCTGTCTTTACTCCCACAGGTGAGCCTTGAACACACCCTCCCTGTGCCCCTTTCCCCACCTACAAGACCTCCTAGTAAGCAACACCTTCAAAGCCAGCCCTGACTCCCCCACCCAGCCCACCTGTAATCCCTCGGCTCCCTCCCACTCCTGTTATCTGCAGATGGGCAAGGGCTCTCCCAAAGAGGTGAGCACCTGCTCTCTCTTGTGCCAGGACAGCAAGGGATGGGTGAGGTCCTGCCCTGCTGACCTGACTTTTGCTCTGTGGACCAGCTATTATTGACATTTCTTTGAATCAACTCACCTGTTGTGTTCTGCTCCTGGTAAGCAATAAAACCTACAATTCCAAGGGTCGTGAGGCTCATTCTTGCTCAGGTGGACATTAGAGGCACAATGATATTCTGTGGTGAAGTGCCTCTCCTGCGGCAGAACCTGCCAGACTGGGTTGGAACCCAGGGCATTGTCACACGTGTCCTTATTAAGGACCACTTCACTCTCCTCCATACGCACAGTAGGTGATTAGTAAGTGGCTCATGTTTGCAGTGGAAACCTCGCTAGTCAAGTTTAGGTCCCGCCACAACTGCTCCCCTTCTCAAATCTTTTGCAAGTGCCCTCCACTTTGGGCAAGACACCACAGAATGAATGGTAGAGCCAGCATTCCTGGACCTGTGCACCCCGTATATTTTTAGTCTCTGCCCTGCCTGGGCATTTGCCCCATGGCTATTGTCCTCAGGGAACCACCTACCTGCACACCAAGGTGTCTGGCAAGCTCTCAGAGGTCTCTGGAACTGCACCCCACCCTGGTCCTGAGGCTTCGGCTCTCTTCCCAAGACAGAATCAACTCCTGTTAGTAAAGAGTGCATCCCCACCTCCAACACAAAGAGGCTTGTAGCTCCAAAACCAGGATCTGGGAGGCAGAAAATCTGTGACGTTGGGCAAGTCATATTCTAGACCCAGAAAGTGGGGGGGGAAGGATGCCTCGGCTGCACAAAGGGGACAATCAGGAGGCCTGGGGCGGCAGCTCCTCCAGACAGGTGCACCCCTGGGAAAGGCTGTGCTAAGGGAGAGTCCCATCTCACTTCTAGGAACAGGACCCCCCATCCCCAGAGATCTCTCCTTGTGGGGCTAGACTAATTCCATGGCTGTGCTGTCCCCGTTCTCCTCACCAGTGCAATTTTCCCATGTGCCAAGAATCAATTCTAGAATGTACAGGTAAGTCTCGGCAGATGCATTCTGAAGACCTTTCCATGTTTTCTGCTTCCTTGCTGCTCCCTTTTCTCAAAGCCATTACTGTTCTGGTCCTAGATGTCGCTGGGTGCTGGCAGGAGCCTGTCCGGTCCACAGCTCCTCTGTCCTGTGCGGGGTCTCAGTCCTCCTCTGTAAGAGGAGGGGAGTCAGATGCCTAGTCTGGGTGGTGGGTTATGTTCTCTGCAGTGGCTTTCATTCTTTTGTTCGGCACTCACGGTAAGAAACACATTTTACATCTTTTTTTTTTTCTTAAAGATTTTATTTATTTATTTGACATAGAGAGAGACAGCGAGAGAGGGAACACAAGCAGGGGGAGTGGGAGAGGGAGAAGCAGATTCTCCGCTGAGCAGGGAGCCCGATGCAGGAGGGCTCTATCCCAGATGGGATCATGACCTGAGCCGAAGGCAGACGCTCAACAACTGAGCCACCCAGGCGCCTCATTTTACATCTTGACCGAGTACCCACGTAAATATTCACACACGTTAGTCGCCTAAACACAAAGCAATACTCTCAGTGTGTGGGATGCTCTGGTATTTTCTATTTTATCCTGTTTCATTTTTATAAAATGCTGGTCACCATCCACCAAGTTTCTTCCGTACCGGATTTGATGGGCCGGGTCAAGAGGGAGAGACAGACAAAAAGCAAGCGCACACGTGCACGCTCGCAGTCGCTGACGGAGCTAAGTGCCGCGCCGGGGCAGTCGGAAGCCCCTCTCCGCCTCACACCCCGGACGCCCAGGACGCCTCCCGGGTGGAGCCGGGCGGGCCAGGCCAGGCGGGGCTTTGAGGCGCTGGTGGCGGGCTGGGATTTATTTTAAGGGACGTGAAGCTACCGCAGGTTTGGGGGAGGGGAGGGATTAAAGGAGAAGATGCGCTCAGCACTTTATATTTAGCGGCTGACGCGCCGGAAGCGCTCGTAACCCGCAGCCGCCACTGCGCCCTGCGCCCAGAGGGCAGGCCCCACCTCCACGTCGCGGTTAGGGACCCCGGCGCCCGCCTTCGCCTCCGGGGTCAGGGATTCTCGGTCCCCCGCCTCCACGTCGCGGGCAGGGACCCCGAACCCCGCCTCCACGCCGCCGTTAGGGACCCCAGCGCCAGCACCCCCTCTTCTCTCAGCGGAGTAGGGACTCCTGGCCCTCCGCCCCTACCTCCAGGACAGGGAACCCGAACCCCGCCTTCGCTCGGCGGGACAGGGACTCCCGGCCCCCCCGCCTCCATGCCGCGGTTAGGGACCCCGGCCCCAGCACCTCATCTTTACTCAGCAGGATAGGAACTCCCGGCCCCCCGTCTGCACCTCGCGGGACAGGGACCCTGAACCCCGCAATCACCTCCCGGGACACGGACCCCGAACACCGCCTCCACGTCGCGGACAGGGACCCCCAAACCCCGCCTTCGCTCGGCGGGACAGGGACTCCCGGCCCCCCGCCTCCACGCTGCGTTTAGGGACCCCAGCCTCAGCACCTCGCCTTCACTCAACGGGATAGGGACTCCCGGCCCCCCGCCTGAACCTCGCGGGACGGGGACCTCGAACCCCGCCTCCACGTCGCGGTTAGGGACCCCAGCCCTCGCCTTCCTCCCCGGGGCAGGGACTCCGGCCCGCGGGTGCTGGAGAAGGGGCGGGGCGCATCCCAGCCGGGCGGCCTTCCAGCCCAGAGCAGGGGAAGCTGTCCTGGTCTCTTCCACAGAGGGAGCGCCTAGCTGGGGGGACACGGCTCGCAGGCCCGCTGCACAGCGACCAGGGCAGGGCAGGGCCAACGCGCTCCGCCCCCAATCCCGCCCCTTTGCTCACCGGCCCCGCCCAGCCGGCACGCGCACGCGCGATCCGCCCCTCCCGATTCCCACCCCTTTCCCCCCTCACCCCCCTCGACCCCTGAGCCTGCCCGCCGAGTCTCGTGCTCCCACCCCGCGCGGGGCCCGCCGGGAGTTGGCTGAGGAGGGGGCGGAGAGCCAGGGAAAGCCCGCCCGGGCCCGCGGCGCTGGTTGCGCAGGCGTAGAGCGCGGGCCCGCCCCTAGGCCAGCGGCGCGGCCATATTTAAAGGGAGGCCGGGGCGGCGAGCCAATGGGTGCCGAGCGTGCGGGGGCGGGGCGTGGCGGCGCGAGGCCCCGGATGTGGCTGCTGCGGCCCCTCCTCCCCCTCGCTCCCCTCAGAGCCCCTGGCCGCGCGCCGCCGCTCGCTCGCTGGTCCCAGCGCAGGCCCGTCGGGCGGCGGTGAGGAGGCGCCGAGGCGGAGGAGCGGGCGGCGGCGAGGCGACCGCGCGGAGGCGAGCGGGCCAGGCCCAGCCGGGCGGCCGCCGCCATGAGCGGCTCCTCGGGCACCCCGTACTTGGGCAGCAAGATCAGCCTCATCTCCAAGGCGCAGATCCGCTACGAGGGCATCCTCTACACCATCGACACGGACAACTCCACCGTGGCGCTCGCCAAAGGTAGCGGCCCCGCGGCCACCCCAACCGCCCCGGCCCCCGCCCGCCAACAGCCCGCGGCCGCTCCCCGCCCCTCGCGGCGCCCCCCGCCCGCCTCCCCACCCCCGCGGGGCCCGGCCCGCACAATGGTCTCCCCCGGCCCCGGCAGCGGCTTATTGTGCGCGGCCGGCCCGCCCAGCCTGAGCGAGGGGAGGGGAGGTGGGGGCGGGTCCGGCTCCCGCCGCGCCGCCCCCTCCCCCGCGCAGCCCACCTCTGCAGGTGGGGGGCCGGTGTAGCCGGGCGGGCGCGGAAAGCCGGGTCCCTGCGGAGGAGGGGCGGGGCGAGGGGCCTGAGGCTCCCTGGGGCCTCCCCAGAACACTACTCCTGCAAGCCCTTCTGGAACCTATTAAGCAGCTGGGGCCTTGAGCCTGAACAAATACCACGTCTTAATGGAACCTCCTGCCAGGATGGGAGCATCGGTCGGCAGCTAGGTGCCGCCGCTTAAAGCGCTCTCTTGCCCTGATGCAGACGTTGTGGCCACACCGAAGCCTCCGGGAGTCTTAGGAGCAGAAAGGTGTATTGTGGCTCTAGAGGAGTCCAGAATCTTTTCGCAGCTTCTTGAGGCAGGAGGTGGCTCCAAAGTTTCTTTGTCTTCATTCTCCAGGGAAGATGGCGAGTGTCGTTCCCTTGCCTCTTAGAGAGAGGTGATGAATGCAGCCAGGTCTGCAGAAACCCTGTTTGTTTGATGGGTCTTGCTAGGCCTTTAAGGATCAGGGCTCAGCTTCCACACTTCTTTTGTCAGAGGGAGCTCTAGACCTTCAGGACGCCGTCATTCCAAACTCTGGGAGTATCTCCTAAAGCATAGCGCTCCCAAGTTCTGGGGTAGACCGTTAGCACTGCTCCAGGGAAGAATTCAGGATTACAGACAAGGGTATGTGCTGACGTGTACTCTTGGCACTTGAGTATGTTTGACATGAGATCCCCATTGGAGAAACTGAGGTCCAGAGTCTCTGTCCTTGGCAGCAGTTGTGCTCATGTTAGATAGAGGCTGCTTCAAGCCCAGCTCTGCCCCAGAGACCGAAGAAGGACAGACTTGGAGAGACTTTAATCCCTGCTGGTAAGGGTCCACAACCCCGAGAAGGCCTTCGGGCACACACAAGCTGGTGCTGTGGGTCCAGGTTCTGGGCCTGCTTCTGCCCGTGTTTCTGTAATAGCTCCTCCCCAGGCAGGTTGTGGGAGGGTGAGGGTAACAACCTCCAGGCTTCTCTCCTAGCAAAACAACTCCCTCCTAGCAAAACAAACTCCCAGGGGTGACGACGTGGGGTGAGGCTTCAGGCAAAAAGCAGCTGTCTGTCGGGCTGCTTAATCTTTGAAGTCAGGTGTAAACAGGGGTGCTCTGCAAAGCTGACCTGGTTTGCTGGGGACACTAGGCTTCCCGTGTTCACACTTGAGAATGTTAAACTTCACGGGATTGTCAGGCTCGGATGTCGTTAACTTGTCTTTGTGACCTAAAACCTTTTGGAGCATTGCCAACTGGGGTCTTGTAGGTATTGGCCATTGGAAATTGGGGGCTGTAGGGTAGTTGTCGGAAGGTGGACTGCGAGTGCTCTGCTGTGGATGGTGTGCGGGGCAGGGCCGGTCGTGGAGTGCTTGAGAGCAGCGGTGGAGAGGGTGGATGGAACGCCCTTGGCCGAGGACAATAACCTAACGGTTCTTTCTTTCAACTCCAAAGTGAGGTCTTTTGGTACTGAAGACCGTCCCACAGATAGGCCGGCCCCCCCAAGAGAGGAAATCTATGAGTACATCATTTTCCGGGGAAGCGATATCAAAGATATTACTGTGTGTGAACCTCCGAAAGCTCAGCACACACTGCCTCAGGATCCTGCTATTGTTCAAGTAAGTGTGTTGCCCTGCTTTGCTGTGGCACGGATTCTGAGAGGCGCTGGTTTCCAAATGGAACTTGGTGTCATCTGTTTGGCGGGGGCGCTCAACTCGAGGAATAGCCTTTTAGTGAAAAGTGGTTTAATTTCTGTCTAGGCTGTTGGTGTTCCTACGAAAGGTCTTAATCTCAGCATGTGGTAGTGTGTGCTGTGGAGTGAGACTCTATTTGTGTGAGAAGGGGGTGGTGGTCTAGTCTTGTCCGGGGTGTTTGGGGAATTGTGTTTGTCTTCACATTTGGGTTGGGACAGCAGGACTTGCTCTCTTGACACTGTCTAGATTTTAAATTCCAGTGTTGTGGGACAGTGAATTTGCGATTCTTAGACCATACACCTGCTTGCTGCGTTAAGGCAAAACTCTTTTAAAATTTTTGTTTATTTTTTAAAGATCTTCTTTATTTGGGAGAGAGCACGAGGGAGGGGAGTGGGCAATGGGGAGAGGGAGAAGAAGACACCCCAATGAACAGGGAGCCCGATGCGGGACAGATCCCAGGACCCAGAGATCATGACCTGAGCCGAAGGCAGTTGCTTAACGGAGCCACCCAGGTGCTCCCATTAAGGCATAATTTGCCTAGGATTACCAGGGAGCCTCAGTTAGTATTCTCTTGATTTAAAACTTAAAGATTCCCTGGCTCCTCTGAGGTTCATACTATGGGAGGTGCTCCCTGGAAGATAGGAGCATGTGTGGGGGATTCTGGGACGTGTGGAGGAGTCCCAGGCCAGACTTAGGAGAGGTTTGCAGCGAGAGTTCTCAGGGACTTCGGAAGAGGCAAGTACCTGAGCCAGGCCTCGAGGGACAGAGGGGCCTTTTGGAAGCAATAGGCAGCAGTGTCCCTGAAGGTGTGGGCACCAGAGAAAGGGTGCTTGTCTGGGAACCTCACGGCTGTGCTCCCGTGTGTTGGGACAGGGCCAAATCGAGGATGGCATACCCACGCAGAGGCTAAACTACTTGATGACAGTGGGGCGTCATTACAGGGCTTGAGTTAGGGGAAATTGAGGTTCGGGTTACCTGGACAGGCAGTGCTGGGTATGGAATGTGGGAAAGGCAGCTTTGAGCTCCCTTAGATCATCCTGGAAACGTAGCCTGGGCCCCCCAGCCTCCAGGAATACAGGCTGACAAATCAGGCTGCCTTTCCCTGTCTGAGCAGTGCTTTCCAGGTGGGAAATGGGAGGGCCTTGTGCTGCTCTCATTTGTGTGTCTCGTTGCTCAGTCTTCCTTGGGCTCGGGCTCGGCCTCCTCCTTCCAGCCACACGTGCCTTACAGCCCCTTCAGAGGGATGCCACCCTACAGCCAGCTGGCTGCCAGCTCTCTGCTTAGCCAGCAGTATGCCGCTTCCTTGGGCCTAGGTGAGTAACCTGGTTTCTATCTGGTAAACTGCTGGTGCTGTGACCTCCAGGAAGCGGGGCCACAGACCCTGATAGTGGGGACACTGTTCTTGTGATATTCAGTTTGTATCACATGCTTAGTACAGTACTCAGTGCAATTTCAACTCGTTAGAATGCTTAGTAATTAATTGAGAGTGAAAGAGTCTGAATTTTGGAACAGATGAATCAAATTAAAATTTATTTGAAATGTCGGTCTGGGTGTAAGTCGTCATACATTTGCTTTCAATAAGAAACAAGTGTTAATGTGCAATTACAGATGAGTTCTAACTATTGGCGTGTCTGTAAACCTGGAAATACGAAAGTTGAATCAACATCTTATTTATTGTAGTCATTTGTCATTGCTTTGCTCAAAAGTTACTTCCCCAAAGGTGAACTAACTCTGGAATGAGGTTCTCTTCCGCACGTGTAGAGTGAGAGTCTACTTGGCCCTGGACGCAGCTTTGCAATGTGCTCAAACCCTGGAGTTGGCAGGCTCCTATTCAAGCGTAGGGCTGTGAGCAGGCCCTGTAGACCGGTTCTTAGGTCACTTTTTAATCAACTTGTCTTGATTGCTGCTCCTAGTGTGGGTGCCCTTGTCAGCCTGGCTCACTGTGTTTCTAGAGTAGGTTTGTGTGAGCCACTGTCCTACGAGGGACTGCTTGGCTCCTTCCAAGCTTGCTAGACACAGGACGAGTGTCTCGTTACTTATTTGTGTACTTTCTCTTTTGCTCTTCTCTCCTCTGTCTTCTTTTAGAGAAGCTGGTGAGCCCTCCAGCCTCGGCCGCAGCTTCCAGCCCTAGTTCCTCTCCATCTCCACAGCCCGCCTCAGAGCTTGACATGTCCTCAGAGCCACATCAGCTCACTTCCAAGGGTAACCGCAGTTTGGGAGAGCTGCATGCTGTCTTGCCATCCTGAGAGCAAGGGGGTAAACCAGTAGCCCAGAGTGACAGTAGCTGTAGCCAAGCCCGCGGGTCAATTAAGCTGCTTCCATTTGATTCAATACATAGTCATGATTTATTAATGAACTCCCAGAGTTTTAAAGAAGGGATTGGAAAGAACTGACCAAGCACTTGTTCACTCTCCCTGGGCCCAGCGTCAGTTTTGACCAGTACTGAGACGGCCAAACATGGGAACTTTTCCTCTGTACAGAAAGCTTTTCCCTGGGGTTTCTGCTGGTCCCAGATGTGTTCTAGATTGCTGGGTGAGACTGCAGGAGAGCGTCTCTAAGAAACTCATGTGTTGTTCTGGGATCTCTGTGCCACATTTGTCAGTCATCCCAGGGGCCTCAGGTGTCTTTATAATGTGAAGCCCCTTTAAAATTGGGAGACTTGCTCGACCTGTTGACCAGGTGGGTGGTGTGGGCCTAATGACAGCTTGTTAATGCTGGTGTGCACCACCTGTCTCAGCTGTGCTGTGGCACCTCTTGGGGCTTCTTGACCTTTCCTGATGTTCTCATTGGAGAGGTGAGATTCATGTGCCTGAGTGAGTTAGAGCACAGGAGCTCTGCCCTCACCACTGCAGAGGCTGGGTCCAAGATCGCGCCTGGAGCTTCCACTGTGGCACACAACTACTGTCAGTCTGTTGTTTTGCACGGGTCGCTTTCTGCTCCTGCGTGGATGCCAGTGTGTCCAAGTTGTAGAAGCAGTAATGTTTTTTCCCGGTTAAAACATATTAAACAGTTCATCTTTCTTTGGATCATTTGCATGAAATTGCTACTAAGGCAAGATGGTTTAACTGGTTTGGTTTTCTCAAAACCAAAGGAGCCTGAGAGTGTTGCCCCCTCAAGTTAGAGTGTGACAGGAGCAATCCGGCTGCGTCTCTGGGAAGGCCCTGCTGGGCACGGCACGGTGGCAGGCCGGGGAGGGTGCTCTAGCCTGATGCCTGTTGAGTGCGCCTGCGGGTGCCAGGGTGCAAGGCCAGGAGCAGCTTCTGTGCTGGTCATAAGGGATTTTTCACAGTCATTGCCTTAGTGTCTGTGCCACATGGACAGTAAGAAAGGTGAAAGAGCCAGTCTTGACATGTGACGGGCTGCCTCTCATAGTTACCTCTGCGGTTAGGGCTCAGTTTTTCTGTGTCAAAGCTCTGGACCTCCACCCAGCACCGCCCCCCACCCCCCGCTTAGACTGTGCAGGGAGGGGAGGAGAGGAGATGGGCCAGTGTGGGTGGCATGCCCTCTCCCTTTCCCTGCCTCAGAGGACACCTTGGGAGCTGAGACCTCCTCCAAGGCTTGGCTTCTGAGCTCGTAGCTGCTGTGCTCAGGGCTGGGGGCTGCAGTGTTGTAGGAACAGACATCACGCGGCCCGCCTCCAGGGCCAGCCTGGGAGCCTTCGTTTCTTCCAGATGTGTTACTTTTCTGTAGTCGGCTTTTATTACAGAACCCTTTTCGATGTCGTTATTCCTCAAGCAGACACAACAGTGTTCTAGAATTTAAAGAGTGATCACTGTATTTACTACAAGATCCTGGACTGGGATGGTTCTTGTCCAGCGTGGACTGGAACGAAATAAATTCTCAGACCGTGAATTTGCCAGCATCTTGGAACCCATGGAGCCCCCTTGGGGTTAGAGCTTCTGTGGTTTTTAGAAAGCTTTGTTTGTTTGTTCGTTTATTTTCTGTGTCCCCCTCCCCGCCCTGGAAAGCTGTTTCTAAACCACCTGGGAGGTGTTCATTTTTGGCAGGGTGTTTTTTTCTCCTCGGTGTTCCCTAGCTTGGGGATCCTGGGGCTCAGGGCTCTCGGATGAACTGGCCTTGTTACCACCTGGCTAGACAAGTGGGGGTGGTCCGGGAGGTTTGGTGGGGATTGGGAGAGTCTCGAGGCGGTAACCTTCAGCTGTCTGGCATGCCACCCAGAAGGAATGGCTGGAGGGGCGTGAGGTTCTCTCCTCTCTGGTTTTAAGCCCTCCTTCCCCTCCCATCTCAGGAGCTGGTTTTCCATCCGTCCCAGTCGGCAAGAGCCCCATGGTGGAGCAGGCTGTCCAGACTGGTTCTGTTGATAACCTGAACGCCAAAAAGCTGTTACCTGGCAAGGGCCCAGCGGGGATGCAGCTCAACGGGCGCCCCGCCCCGCCAAGCAGCAAGACCAGCAGCGGTACTAGAACACTTCGTTCTCCGGAGTTTGCTTCATGTTCTCAGGGCGGCACGCTGCTTCCTGGGGTTCTTTTTCTTTTTCTCTTCTCTCTCTCTCTCTTTTTTTTTTTTTTCATTAAAAAGCACTGATCCCTGCCCCCACCCTAAACACCATGTGCTTGGCAGGGCCCCCCTTGCTGCATGTCCCCCGCGGGGGCGCCCCCCTGCTTCACTGCTGGGCTCCGCTTCCCTAGGCGCTTGCCTTACTCTTACCTTTTGCGCCTTAGATGTAGTTCAGCCGGCAGCTGTGCAAAGTCAAGGGCAGGTGAATGACGAGAACAGAAGACCTCAGAGGAGGAGATCAGGTAACAGCTGTTGCCACTTGAGTTCTGGGGAGCCTCGAACTGTCCAGATGTGCTCTGCTTGCCCCTCCCCGCCTTGTCTCTGTGGGTGACGGTTTTAGGGAGTACTGGGGCTCAGTGTCTGCTTCTGTGTGCTCTGTTTCCTCCTTGTCATCCTCCATCTCACTGAGTAATGTCAGGTTGGTGGCTTACGAGCCCTGGCTTTCCTTTCTTACAGGGAACAGACGAACAAGGAATCGCTCCAGAGGGCAAAACCGCCCGACTAATGTCAAAGAAAACACAATCAAGTTTGAAGGCGACTTTGATTTTGAGAGCGCCAATGCCCAGTTCAACAGAGAGGAGCTGGACAAAGAGTTTAAGAAGAAACTGAATTTTAAAGGTGTGTGTCGTTATTCGGAAATTGCCCTCTCTGCCAAGGAGTATCTGTAGAAGCAAGTCAAGGAAGGATGGGCGGGGGAGAGGGGGTGGGCAGTTGGGCCAGTGGCCAGTGTGGAAGCAGCGCCCCCTAAGGAGTTCCTGAATGAGGAGGAGGAGCCTTGGGGCCCTGTGCAAACTGCTCGGGAGGAGGAGCAGACCACGTGGCCCCAGGGTGGAAAGGACTGGTTAGGATTCAAGGAGGGGATTCCACTAACACTGAAGACCCCCCCTGCAGCACTTCTGAGGCTTGAGGACAGCTGCCAAGAGGGTCCCCTCCGGTAGAAGGGGTGCTTTGTTTGCTTCTTGGCATCCCACTGTGTTCTTCTTCACACAGATGACAAAGCCGAGAAGGGGGACGAGAAGGACTCAGCAGTGGTGACCCAGAGTGATGAGGCTCCTGCTGAGGAAGACCACCTGGGGCCCAACTGCTACTATGATAAGTCCAAGTCCTTCTTTGACAACATCTCCTCTGAGCTCAAGACCAGGTCAGGGGCTGGGAGGGCGCTGGGCTCGGGGCTCATGAGGCCTGGATGAGCTGGCAGGTCCAGACCCTCATTCTGCCTCAAATCTCCTGAGACTAGGGCATGCTCTCTTGAAGACCAGCCTGAGACCTAAGTTCAGGGTCAATCTAGGATCCTACTCACGTTTTTGGCATGTGGGTACGTCGGGCCTAGTGGCGCCAGCAGGTGGCAATGTGGGAACCCCCAGCAGTCACAGGCACCTGAGGGGTCTGACCAAGGTCCAGCCCCGACTTCCGTCTTGGCTTTGCGGCCCCTTTGTCCATTAAGGCTGGGCTCGGCACTACCCTCCGAAGCTGAGCGGCTGCATCGTTCAGTTCCACAGCACCTCGTCCTGGCCCGCTTCTGGGTTCCCGTGGACTCTGGGGGCCTGAGGCCCTTGCTACTCGCAGCAGCTGGCCAGTGTTCTGTTTGGGGTGTTCTTTCATCTGACTCCTGGCGGCTGGGGGCCCTGTCGTGCGTTTTTAGTGCCTCGCAGCTGGTGCTCACATGCTGCCATGTGAACAAGCTGGACGATAAATGGGAGTCTGTAGAGTGGGCACAGCTTGGAAATCCAGATGCATTCGTTCCGCACTAGGAGTGCCAGACACTGCTGGGTGTCAAGGGCACAGCACGGAGCAAGCTGGGAGTCCCTGCTTGCCCACGTCTCTATCCTGGCAGGGGAAGAAAACGATAAAAATGTGCACGTCTAGGATAGAAATGCTTCCGGGAACGGGACTGGGGAAGGCTGGGCAGTGGGAGGGTAGAGGTACGTTGAGTGTGCAGGTCTCACACCATGTGGTGTTAGGGAGTCAGCGTGTGGGGGAACGAAGGAAGCTTCTGCAGACAGGCTGCCGGGGCAAGGCAGGCAGTATGCATCTGCCACGGGCTAGAGCAGAGTCCAAGAGAGTCGGCCCGGGGTGAAGGGGGTGTGTGCGTATGGGGCTTAGTAGTAGGTCACAGTGACGACCAGCTCATGTGCTGAGAGCCATGGGCAGCCGTCAGGGTCGGAGCCAAGGAACTATGCCATCTGACACCTCAGCTGTTTCTGTTGAACATGCTGAAGGTGGGCAAGCGTGAGGCTGGGTGGCCCATCTGGAGGCTTTCGCAGTAGTCTGGGTGTTTGGGAATAGGGTGGAAAGTGGTGGTAGAGGAGAGAGCTTGGCTTGTGAACGCACTTTGAAGGGGGAGCAGACAGGGTTTGCTGACTGGATGTGGGGAGAACCAGCACAACTCTCTGGGTTGTTGGCCTGGGCAGCTGAAGGGTGCAGCTGCTGGTTCTTTTAAGTGAGGCCTGTGGGGGCTGTAGAACAGAAGCTCAGTGCTGGGTGTGTGGCCTGTGAGCTGCCTGTGAACAGACTTGGGGGTTCTCTCCCCTGAGCTACAGAGGTGGGTGTTGGCAGCATCCTCAGTATGAAGGGTGCTGGGGCAGCGTGCATGTCCCCACTCCCCCCCGAGCATTAGCATCACATTCTTGGAGACCCTGTTCCATCCAGCCCAAGCCCCTCTTCACATCCTAAGAACTTGTCTGAAGGGGTCTGTGGTCTGCTCCGGGCCTTGGAACCCACATGGGCACTGCCTAGTGTCACGTGCTCGCCTTTGTTGATAAAGGCGTGAGAGTTGATGCTGAGCAGCCTAGCCCAGTGAGAAACAGACCTGGTTGGAGATGTGGCTGGGAGCACCTGCAGTGTTGGCTCTCTGGCTACAGGGTCGGGACTGGCTCACCCCCTCTGCTGGCTCCAGCAGCAGTCACTCCCTGCCTGGCTTTCCTTCCTCCCGTGCTATGTGAGGCTGGGGCCTGGCTCAGAAAGTGGTGAGCAGGTACTGCTGCCTTTGGTCTCATGCACCTGTCTGTGCTTCAGTTCCAGGCGGACTACATGGGCTGAGGAACGGAAGCTCAACACAGAGACCTTTGGGGTGTCAGGAAGGTTTCTTCGTGGCCGTAGCTTCAGGGGTGGATTTCGAGGGGGCAGGGGCAACGGTACAACCCGTCGCAACCCAACCTCCCACAGAGCTGGGACTGGCAGGGTGTAAGGATGCAGCCCGAGGTGAGTGAGGGAAGGAAGCTTCTGGGTCCTCTGGTGGGAGGGCGTTGGGGTGGGAGGGCCTGATAACCAGCCTCTGCAGGAAGAGCTTAGGAGCTGGAGACGGCTGGCTCTGGTTTCCAGTAAGAGGGGAAGCCTCCAGGAATCCAGGCCAAGATGAGGGCCCGGACCCTCCCAGTCACGCAGGGGGCTACTGGGGAGGGCAGGCCCTGGCGTTCTCAGTGTGGTCAGCAAGAAGAGCTTGGCCCAAGCCAGCCTCCCCGCCCCGGCCTGCAGGGACTCTGAGACTACATCAGCAAGGGCCCGGTGACTTGTGTCCCGTGGGTCTGGGCGGTGAATGGGTTGCAGGTGTGCCTGGTGCTGACCTGCCCCAGCCAGGTGGGCCCTGGAGCTTCCTCCCTGTCCCCCGTGTGTACAGAGATGATTTTCATCGTTGGTTGTGATTGCAAAGTCTGGGGAGCCTGGGCCTGATTGAAGTGTGAGGGGGGCTGAGCATCCCTGTTCTCCCTGGGAAGTCTGTGTGCCTGGCTCATGCTGGGTGGCAGCCTGGCGGAATGTGCTAAGCGTACTCACTTGGTGTCCTGTCCCTTTCTTGCAGGCGCCTGCGGAAGTAGCACCGAAACAAAGCTGTGTCTGAGGATATTGGAAAACGCTGCACTTACTGGGGGAGACGTGGGTCACTTTGTTTACTGCGTTTGGAAAATTCCCGTACTACTACTTATGTTTTGGACTTAATTGAACTTGGACGTGGTCTGAGTTAGAACCACTTGTTTTGGGGGGAAGTATTTGTGGGTAACCTCTTTGAGGTATCTTGGTCTGTCTTTCCTCTTTAGTTGCGCACAGCCTAATTCTAAGGTTTTGGTATTTTGGAAGGTTTCTAGAGCAAAAGCTTGATCCTCACTTGTGGCTTGTTTTTTGTGACAACTTTGACTTTTTTAAAGTGGAACCAAATTTCATTTGGCCACTGTGGCAGCCAAGCTTATCTCTATAACCCAACTGGCCTCTGGTGCTGCTGGCCTGACACCCCCATGGGCACAGGTGGGGTCTCAGGAGCCAGGCAGGGCCAGCATGGGAGTGTGTGTGTATGGGGGTGGGCCTTAGGGCAGGGAAAGTGGGGTGTCCCACGGATCATGTTGTATAAGCAAACCAGACAACCCTTACATCCAGAGTGGCGATGTCAAGGTTGAGGGCTGGTGGGTTGGTGGCGGGGGGGGGGGGGGGGGGGGGGGGGGGGGGGGGGGGGGGGGGGGGGGGGGGGGGAAGAGGGAGAATCCTGGAGGCTTAGGAAGGGGTCCTGAACATGAGCTAGGAACTGTCGCTCAGAGCCTGACTTCCATAGGAATCGGGGTTGGGGGCCAAAGCCCAGGGCAAGCCCCCCTGTGGGGTACCTATCCTTCCTGCCCTGCCCCTGCCATCCTCAGACCCAGGCCAGTCAGTGTTGGACTCTGGCCACTGTTCAGTGTCTCATCCACTTGGAAATGAGCCAGTCTTTTTTGCAAGGTCGGTTGACCAAGAACATATTTCTTCTCAATTGTAAATAGTTGTGTTTTTGTTTTACCGTGGGTGGAGGGTGGGTGGGGAATATAAATTTGTTGCATGAGTAAATGGGTCAGACCTTTAGTGTAAGCATGCGCCCTTCTTCTGGAGAGGGCATTGTGTTGAACATAAGCACCTTGGTAACTAAACCCCTTTAAATAGCTATAAAGGTTTTAGTTCTGTATTGATTCAGTTACTGTAAAAGCTTGGGTTTATTTTTCTAGGACTTAATGGCTAAGAATTAGAACATAGCAATGGGCTGCTCTGTTGGAGTAATGTAAATTGTAATTATAAATAAACATGCAAACCTTTAAAACTTTTTTTTTCACTGCTGTGAAAGTAAATTTGTTGATTCTGCTGCCTGAGTCACCTCATGTCTGACACGCCCGTCCTGGGGCATGTTCCGGCCTCAGGCTGGTAGGATCCTGGGGGACATCTGTTCTAGTGAGACTGCCCTGGCTGCTCTGGAGAAAGGGCGTGGGTCAGCGCAGCTTCACAGCGGGCCACCTCCCTGGAATGAGTGGCTTTGCTTTCCAGACACCTGGGACACAAACTGGTTTTAAAAATTCAGTCCACAGATAAACCTGCTTCAGAAGTGGTCCCTTTGTTGCTTTCCTACAACCTCCAAGCTCCCCAGAGCTTGTACATCTTTGGTGCCGTCAGGCCAGTTACAGGCCTGGACCCCAGCACCAGCACCATGCATGAAAGCAGCCCATTTCGCTGTCATGGGTTCGGCCGACTCTGAAAGCAGTGTCAGACGACGTGAGGCCCATCCCGTCCACCGTGTCGCATCTCCCTCTGTGCCTACCCAGAGCAGGACCAGGCAGCGGGGGAGTCAGCCTGCAACATCAGGGCCCCATTTTCACTTTCAAAATTTCAACAAATTCTTGGCAACCTTCCTTTGCGGGGGTGGGTACGACAAGGAACATCCTTGGCCAAGAAGAAATGAAAATCTTCCATAGCGTACATGCTAGATGCAGGTAGCCGGGGCGCTGATTCTAAACTAAGGTGACTCAGCAGTTGCACTAGACAGGTATTTCTGCTAGCAAATCTAAATATAGTCAAGTCAGATTACCACTATGACTAACTTTGCTATTAAAATTTTAAACTGACATTTTGATAATTACTTATCTTACGGTGAACTTAAAATCGACCTAGGCCTTTTTATTCCTTTTTAGAAGATAGAATATGTACGTGCCATTCAGTGAGAACTCAGCAAGAGAAGCTATAGACTGGGAAGCAGAGCCCTTCGTGCCACATCCTCGGGGCGCAGGGAGACAGAAGGGGATTCTGTCAGCAGGCCTGGTAGCAGAGCCTCCCATGAAGCAGCAAAGCTGCGGGCGAAGGGGGTTAGAGTCTCCTGTGGAGACCTAGCTGAGGGCCAGGACTGAGGCTGAAGAAAGCAGGGCAGTCACTGGCTAGAGTGAGCGAGTAGGGGGCCGTCAGCACCAGGAATCTTGCAGGAGAGGACAGCAATGTTAAGACTTGATCTACTACAAACCAGAAATACAGGACTGGTTCAGAACACAGCCGCTGCTCTGCAGAACTTTGAATTCAAACACTTAATTGAGTGCTGTTTGTGCTTGTGTCCTTCATGTTCTGTGTGAATTAGGAACTTGCGTGAGGGTCTATAAGGAACAAGGTCGGTCTAGTTAGAACCTCTCAAGGAGGGAAACGGGAGTTTTCTGTGTCCATGTGAAGTGCTACGCGCCTGTCTACAGAAGCCATCACACTCTGCATGACCTTCTAGAGTGGCTTGGACTCACAAACCAATAAGGTGGACACGCCCTGCCCACCACCAGTGGCTTGTCTCAGAGCCTGGTGACAAGGAACATGAAGGAGAGCTCCCACTAAGGACAGCACTCCCGAGACGCAAGGTGAGGGGAAGACTCCACTCTACGGAGCTGTCATAATTCCACCGAGACACAGATCCTCTTAAGAAAAGGTTAACAAATATGGAAATTTATTGCAGGACACATGGACAGTAAATGGAATGGAAATGCCTACATATCATTTTGAGAATCATCCATGATCTGAATTTAAAAATCACTGTAAGATTTCATCATCATGATGCTTTCTTTTGTTTCTTCTTTTCGTTTTCTTCTTTCTCTTTCTCAATCTCAGCAACATATTTTTCAATTTCTTCAGGATTTAAAATCTACCGAAGAAAGTTTACGGTTAGCCCCCAAGGCACACAAGGTGCCCCAGAGCACCAGTGCCGCCTTTGGGGAGGGAACTCGGGCTCGGGCCAGACTGCACCTCACAGCTGCTTCTACAGGAAAACCAGGCTGGGTGCGCCTGATCCAGGTGACAACAGTCTGAGCCTGCCTGTAGGCAACAGAAAAGCAGAAGCCTATCTGCTGGGCTGCTGAGAGCTTTTCAGTGTGTTAAGAGCACATCATTTGTGGGGGGCCTTGGAAGAACCTCTCTCCTAGCACTGAAGCTACAGGACAAGGGTCCCTGCCCCCCCCCCATCACCGGGAATGCTCCAGAGTGAAAGACAGCAAATAAACTTAGTGATTACCTTGAGGGGTTGATCTCGCCTCATGACAGCCAGTTCAATGTTTTTGCCGCCAGACTGAACCACCTTGGAAGGAAGAGAATAATGTCAGACACGGCCACACAGCTCTGGCAAATGCCTCAAATACTGCCCCTTGAGGGGAGAGGGTGGGACACCCTGCAGCCCCAGCCCCTTCTTCCACAGAGCAGCTATGCTCACAGCCCTCCCTACCACTAAGCCCCAAAAGCTGGACCCTAGCCTGGCCTTCTGACACCCCCTCTGCCTCTTTGGCTTTACCTGCCAGCACCTCTGAAGCGCTGACGCAGCCCAAGGCCTCATGACTCCCAGGTACCGTTCTCCGTTCTAATTCCCCAACCTCAGCAACAGCAGGAACCTCAGCAAGGCTGGGCGGGCTCTGAGTGGCAGAGTCCACCCCTGGTGGTTCCTGTCCTGCCTCTGCTTCTCCTTATCTGTGTGCTCTCAGACCTGGTCCCTGATTGCTCTGGCCGCGGGAAGAAGTTGCTAGAGCACCGGGGCAGCGCCCAGTCAGAGCAAGCCCTCAGGGGCCCCGCGTTACCGCCCATACTCTCAGCGCCTCCCCTCCTGTTGCCTGTACTCCAGCTGCCCACTTCTGTGCCCTCCCTCCTGCCTAGCCCAAGCACCAGGGGTTCAAATGCAAACGCACTTCTAGGAGGGCCTTGATAACCAGCTTAATGGTCAGGTCGTCCGTCTCAATGGCTTCATCAGTATAATTCTTCTCTAGAAATTCACGCACAGACTTGGCGCCCCGGCCTATGGCATTGGCCTGAAACAAAAATGTGTCACGTGGTATAAGGCACGACAATCCAGAGCCAGCCCAAGAACGTGGCCATGGCTGCCGAGGCCAGCCATGGGTCCCAGTGAGAGGGAGCCTGGCAGCAGGTAGATTCCAGGCCCTGCTCCATGGCTTCCTTTCCCAAAGGGCTTTTTGGAATTGGTGCTGATCCTCACCAAGAGTGGGATTCTTTCTCATGAATGAAAACACCTGTGCAATTTGAACTTATGCCATGTATCCCCACGCCTCACTGTGGCTTGGACTTTGTCTCAAAGAGCAAGCGTCATGACTTCTTTGCTCCCATTACCAGCAGAAATATCGTGGAGCAGACAGGTGGTGTGTACGTGTGCACAGGCACTGGGAAGACAAGGCCACCTTGAGCCACCAGCTTGGCCTCTGCAACCTCCTTCACTGGCAAGACCACCCGAAGACCCTCTGTCTGGTCAGGGACTCACCTTCCAGGCGTGGTATGTCCCTGAGGGGTCAGTCTGATAGAGTCTGGGGGTGCCGTCAAAGTCAAAACCCACAATAAGGGCAGAGATGCCAAACGGCCTGCGCCCGTTGCTCTGTGTATAGCGCTGGTGGGAAAAGGAACATGTTAATGCTACCTTCTCATCATGAGAGGCCCCCGGAACCCACCCTAAGCAACACACACGGCGTTCCGAAGAGCTGTGCTTTCACTGAGGGGATGGAGATGCTCTCAGGTTATCTGCCACGCAAATAACGAATGAGCCGAGGCCACGGCACTCAGCAGTCCTCCTGCCCTCTGTGCGTTCTCGCTCAGCAAGACGGGAAAGCTAGACCTGTGAGCAGAACTGTGTCACAGAGCACAGCCAAGGCCACTGGAGCTACTCTTGACAACAAACACACTTCTGGCTACACAGTTGGTTTTAAAATGACTGGCGTTTCACCGTAAGGTGGGGGTGGCTTTCAGCATCTCCCAAATGCTGGCTAGCCAGTCACGCGGGACATCAAGACAAAAACTACCGTTTCCCTCCAGGACTGTCCCATGCCACTAAATGAGAATAATGCCACCGAAGTGGGTAAGCTGTAGGAAGTTACACTTGTACGAATAAAGAGCAGGACTGTGCGTGAAGTCAGGGCAGTCTGATTCCCCTGAAGTGACACGTGCAAACACAGACACACAGTAACGTGAACTACTGGGGCCGGACACTCTGTGGCACAGCAGTGACGGCTCTGTAAGCAGGCCCAGCCGCAGGCGGGGGGGCCCACCTGCTTCAGGCTGGCGACGTAGCGGGTGATGTACTCCACGGTAACTGGGTCCTCCACTGTCAGCCGGTGGCTCTGGCACTCCACCCGGGCCCTGTTGATGACTATCCTCGCGTCCGCAGTGAGCCCTGCAAGAGCGGAGAACGCCCCCTGACGCACGCTTCATCTCCCACTGAGGATGGCCCGGGCCCCGTGGCCAGACAGAAGTTGCACTCAAACCACTCCTCTGACACCCGGCTCTGTGGTCATCTGGGTGCAACGATCGGCCTGTGTGAGCAGCTCAGACAAAGCAAGTCAATCCCTAGTTTAGCTCAGGTGAACTGGGATCCTCCTACAGTGGCTCTGCAGGGAAGAGTGCAGGAAGCCACGTAAACGGCGAGAGCACCCTGCACACCCCCACAGCAGGGTGCCATGGCCATGGAAAGCCAAACCTGTCTCGAGACTCTAACTACGATCCAGTCACACGCTGGCAACAGCACAGGCCTTGGTCCAGAGGGCACCCCGAGAAAGCATGGTGAAGCCTTTTTTGTTTCCACAAGTCCAAATCTACTGTTTTTAAAACATTTTTAGTTTACCAATTTACGTATCTTCCAAGAGCAAACCCACCAAGATAGCCTCCAAAGGGCTGATCATTACTGACCTCTGAAAAATAGGGCACCGGCCTCAGACTCACCTGCGAATGCCATGCAGACGTTGTCATCCAACGCACAGATCTTGCGCACAGTTCTCTCATCCTGCAGCTTGGCCACTGACTTCTTCTCTACGCCCAGAACAACAATGTCCTTTCCCCGCACGCCAACCTTCAATAAACGTCAACACGGTACTTAAGAAAGTGACAAGAGTTTCTCCCAGGAGGCACAGAACACTAAGCAGATGGTAACCTGGTCCTGGGAACACCCTGGGGCTGGACACCACACCTGCAGATCACGGATGCTGATCCATTTCTGGCAGAGCTAGCCCAGGTGTCATGACCGGGGTGCCCAGTCCTGTGCCTTGAACATACTGATACACAGTTTCAATTACAATATAAGTAACTACTGTATCAAAGAGTCACATACAAGGTTTTTAAGCCCGAAACCCTGACATTCAAGTCAAATGCTCTGAAAGCAGTGTTTTTGTAGTTGTGAAATTGTACTAAAACCCACCCCACTCCCTCCTACACTATGACACACTGATGTGCACAGCTGTGGGGAAGGCCTGATTTGCTATCAGGTGGAAGGAGAACCGTAACAACTCTTCCTGGGAACTCAACTGCTGTCTGTGTATAGCAGATACTGTAGATGTAAGAAGGATGTTTTAAAAATGTGGAAAAATCCCCAATGGCCAGTTAACTGTCCCTCATCAGGGCAGGAGCAGATACGAATGGGGCAACACTTGGAAGAGTAACAAGACTTAGCTTAGAGCAGATTTCTCAACCAGGGTACTATGGGCATTGGGGCTGGTTGATTCTTTGAGGTGGGACTGCCTCCCCACCTCTACCCCTAAAGGTCAGCCAGTAGCACTTCACAGTCTAGGGCAAAGAAAAATGTCTCCACCCATTGCCAGATGCCCCCTGGGGTGCAAAATCCTGCCCCCCCCCCGCCCCCTTGCAGTTGAGAAGTACTGGTTTTCAGTGTTTCAGATTTTGAGGCTGGTTCTCCTGTCTTAAATTCCCTGGGGGTAGGGGTGGGGGGAGACCAGGCCCAGAGACGCTGGGAGGATTAAGCAAAGCCAGCCACCCTGGCTGGCCTGAGGGAGTACGAGGGGATGGGGGAATGTCCCAAGCAGCTCCTCTTCCAGTGCTCTTTGACTTAAGATAGGTCACAAGATGGATTTTGGACCTTAATTTCACAAAAGATTCAGCAAACGAAAACACTTTACAATTCAGAGTTATGTATACTTTCTCTCTGTTCTGGCTCAAATCTCTGAAACAACAGGTGATAAAAAAAAAAAACCAACAAAAACCATCATACAGTTTGACCAATAAGCAAACCGACAGGTGTCTCAAAGACATCCCGAATTTAAATTTCAAATGGTGGTCAAAATGGCAAGTTTGTGCTCAGATGCCAACAGGAAAATGCATCAACACACTGCCCAACACGGTGGAGGGCTCCCTGCGGCACAGCAGTCAGACCCAGGAGGGAGCGGCACTGCCGATACACAGAACCTGCTTCCCTTGGTTCCTGAAGCCCACCCGGACCTTGAGAACAGTCCTTTCCCTAGCGGGGGAAGCCCTTAAGTGGGAACCTCACGGGTGCGGTTCCCCTAAGTTGCTCACATAAAGGACTCACTGAGCCCGCCACGAGCCGGCCCTGCTGCTCGGTGCCCAGCACCCGAGCCTCTCTGCTGCCCGAGGTGCACGGGCAAGGCCCAGGGCCGTGCAAGGATGACCCGCCAAAATGGCCGTCCCCTAGGCCGCTCACACACTCTGAACTACCCGAGGAAGAAAAGCACCGCTCCTCCGCAGCTCAGCACGCACCCTGAAACCGCCGGCCAGCACACGTCCACCGCAACCGCCCTCGGGTGAGAGGCCGCCGCCCGGCGGGCAGCGCCAGCAGGCTTCCCTGGGCCAGCCTCCCGCCGGCCCAGCACCCGCGGCTCATAAACGCGCCCCCTCCCGTTTCCTGCAGCAACACCACCGGCTCCCGGGTCCCACTAACGCCGCTGTGCGCACCCCACAAAGCCACCCGAACCGAACGCACCCCTGCGACAAAAGGGGGCCGTCGGCACGGCCGTCCCCAGGCTCCCCCCCCGCCCCGCATCCGCCACCGCGACGCCGGGCCCGTGTGCCAGGCCCCGCCGGCCGCCGCTCACCGCGGTCGAGCCCTTCTTCACGGCCTCCTGCGCGTACTCCACTTGGAAGAGGTGGCCGTCGGGCGAGAAGACGGTGATGGCGCGGTCGTAGCTCATGCCGGCGGCGCGCTGGGGCCCGGGAAAAGCGCACACTCACTGCCGCTGGGCCCGCGATTCACGACGCTTCTGCGCCCGCGCCGAGCGCGCGCCCGCCCGCCCCCGCCGCTGCGCACTGCGCTGCGGGCGTACGGCGGCGTCGGGCGGCGTCGGGCGGCGTCGGGCGGTGTCAGGCGGCGTCGGGCGGACGTGCGCGCGCGCCGGGGCGGGGCCGGGCCGAACCACCGGCGGCCGGGAGCGGGGGGGGACGGCGCGGCGGCGGGGGGCTAGATGCGGGGCGCAGAGCGGCCGTCCGGGGGGTGCCTCCTGGGACTTGGCGGCGAGGGCGGGCGGCGCGCGGGATCGGCGGCGCGGCGGGCCCGGGGACAGCGCGGGGGTACGCTGGGGCGGGCGAGCCCACGACGCGGCGCCCCCCGCGCCTCCTGCCCCGCCCCCCGGCCCCCCCCCCCCCACCTCGCGACTGCGGAGAATGAGCGCCCGGGGCCGCCGAGCGCCGCCGGAGCAGAAGCCCCGAGGATCTCGGGCTGATCACGCGTGCGACCATGTCGGTGGCTTTCGCGTCCGCCCGGCCGCGAGGCAAAGGGGAGGTCACGCAGCAGACCATCCAGAAGGTGGGCCGGGGCGGGCGCGCGGGGCCGGGGCGTGCGGGGCCGGGGGGCGCGGGGTGGGCGCGGGGCGCGAACAAAGCCGGGGCGCAGCCGACGACCGCGACCCCGCCGGGCCCCCAGCCGCCCGCG